ACCTCCTTCCTCCTCCTATTTTCCCCACAACAACAACACCCCTGTGAGGTGAGTTGGGCTGAGAGAGAGTGACTGGCCCAAAGTCACCCAGCCAGCTTTCACACCTAAGGTGGGACTAGAACTCACAGTCTCCTGCTTTCTAGCCTGGGGCCTTAACCACTACACCAAACTGGCTCTCTAACACTGATCTTAGTTATCACTGATCAAGTGCCTTATGGGAAGAATTTATTGTAACCTTCTCATCCTGAAGGACAGGTAGGCTTGTACATGGCTTGCAGCTTTTAGATGATGCGGTGTCGCTGCCACTGCCCACATATACAGGAAGCCACCTAATCAGATGCTTTTGCACAGAAGAAGCTCCCTTCCCAACCATGATAGCATGTGCTAACCAGCAACCAGCTGGTCAGCTGGTTGAAGGAGTGCCAGACAGTCTATTGTGTTGGAGAAAAGTGGTGCAAGTTTTTCTTTTCCCAATGCAATACTGTGTGTACCCTAAATTAGCTGAATAGTGGAGAGCAGAAGCTATTGTACTGAGGAGAGAGAGAGAGAGAAGAAAATTCCTTCTCCATAGAACTGGGATGGGTAGGTCTAGTTTTCTGTTTACATCCCCTGATCTTTCGTGTGGGTTTTTCTAAAATCATGTGTTCTTTCTGTGATACTGGAAGCATTGTATTTACCAGTAACACCAAATAGCTTTCTAACCATAATATAGCTTAGTTGAGGGGCCCTTGCTACTCACCATCTTATTTCCCTTCTGTAGGAAGCAAAGAAGAACGAGGAATTCTGGCCTGGAGGAAAGATTATAATACAGACTCTGATGGTACTGTGAATACCCTGCACATCTATGATCTTCCATTTGGAATAGGTTCCAAGTTCTGTGTTGCTAACTGGTTTAAGTACCTTCCAACGTGCCCCAAGCAGTTGGCTACTCACAGTGCAAAGGAACAGGAGAAGAGCATCAAAGCTGATGTTGAAAGGAACTCTGATATCAGTATTAACACAAAGGTTTAAATCTGCACCAGGAGGAAAAAATGGTTTCCTAAGCCACTGAAAAATCATCTTCCTTTCTGTGGGTTTCATGAGCTGTGGCTGAGCAAAAGACCAAGATCCTGTAAGCAGTTCTGTGATATCCCCCAAGATCGGCACCATCCTGAGTGTTGGTTTCTTTACAGCACCATTTCAAATAATTGTCTATTTAGGGAGTGGGAAGCGCAGGTGTGGTCATGGGAAAGAATTTGTTTTCCTTTCTACTATGGAAAACTGTTGCCCAGGAAATCTGAGTGTAATTCTTGAGAAAATGAATGAGGCTTAGGTTTCAGTAAATACAGCCTCAAGCTTTATCTCAGCTGAACTGACCAAATGCAGTTGATCAAACTCCTTAATTTGCACGCTTCAGATTTTTGGTGCCCCCTTACTTTTTAATCATCAGAGTTGTTAAGTCTAAAACCTCTGGAGGACCGTTTGCTGGTTAATGCGGGTTATTTAATGACTACAATAGGCTTCTGGATTAAATTTGAGTTGCCAAAAGCATTTATAAAATAAAAGTTGTTATTTCTTATTTGCTTTCATGCAAGCCAATATACATGAATAGCCACACACAATGCATACTTTATCCAGATAAATATGTAAATTCATATAATGTTGTACCTTATGTTTAAACTGTACCCAAAGGAAAGTATCAGTAATCTGATATGCATTGGGAAAGGCTTTTGATCATTCTCTTCGGTGAAGGCCATTTTGGTTTACTAATGAGCCCGACCTCATGCTGGCAATTTCCTCAGTGAATGCTGTTCTGGTTTCAAGACAATTTGCACTGATGACCTGTTGATTTCATGATTGTTTGCATCATATCACACTTTGCAAAGCAGTATTTTCTAAAATTCCAAAAAAAGGGATTTGGATCTGATTAACCATAGGGCACTGTTGAAGGAACAAATCTGGTCCTTTCTGCCCCATTTCAGTTTCCTGTCATGTTGTACCTCCTTTTTTTCATACTGGCCATATGTGCACTCTTCAGTCTTCCTCACTTCAGATTTAATACTGTTTTTCCACTTCATGTATTCATGTATTACTCTGAAGTAAGTAAAGGGATAATTTAAATGTAATACTCCCCAGCCTAGCAATTACATCCTTCTTTTCCTACATGGCTATTAAGCATGAATTGGAAACTTTCATACCCTGCTTCTCATCATAGCTATCCCATATACATCCAAATACCTTGCACGGCCATTTGGGAGAAGTCAAGGTAGCTAGCTCCACATACAACAGTTGTGCCTCTTTCATGGCTATTAACACGCAGTGAAGCCTAAAATGCTATCAGCTCACTAAGATGGCATTCCAACGAGCCTTTTGAATCCAGAGTTTAGAGTTGCATGAGGTTGTGGCAAGAGACAATCCTTTATTTTTAAACTATCAGCAAATATAAGTCTGTAAGACGCTCTTCTCTTCACCTTGGTGATATATCAGCAAGCCTCTTCTTGCTGCATAGGAACAGTTGGGCAATATGCTGGGGTATGCTTCTTCATAAATAATAAAGCAAAGATTCTGACAAATTCTGGCTTAATGATTCTCCCCATTCAAGGAGCAAATTGGTATGGGACTGTACCACTCACAGAAAGAAAGCAAAGATGTAGAATATCCTCTTTTCCAATGATACCTTTTTGACGCGCATGTTTCATGTATATGGAGATTATTTTATTTTTCATTTATTTATATATCAAATTTGCCACTGCCCATCTCATTAAAAAGTGACTCTGGCAGTTTACAGAAGAGATAAATATTAATTAAAAATACAACACAACAATAGTCCTAAATAAATAATAAATATTTTCCAAGAATTTATGGTAGTTAGAAATTATTAGACTGAGGGAGTGTCATCATGGTGCCAGCCACCCCCAGGGTTGGTTAAAACTCTTCTTGCCCCACACAAGCTGGCAGAACCAGGTCTTCAGTTCTTTCTGGAAAGCCAGGAGGGTAGGGGCCGGCCACACCTCTGGGTGGAGAATACTCCAGATGGCAGGGGCAACGGCAGAGAAGGCTCTCCTCCTGGACCGCACCAGCTGACATTCTCTTGCTGACAGGGTCTGTAACATGCCTTCTTTGCCTGACTGGGTGGGACAAGTCAATGTGATGGTGGTGAGACGGTCCCTCAGGTAACCTGGGCCCATGCCATGTAGGGCTTTAGAGATAATAATCAACACCTTGAATTGGACCTGGAAGCAAACTGGGACCTAATGCAGCTCCTGCAACAAAGGTGTTATATGTGCCATCCTTGAGGCACCCAAGATTGTCTGCGCAGCCACATTTTGAACCAGCTGTAGCTTCTGGATACTCTTCAAGGGTAGCCCTATATAGAGTTCATTGCAATAGTCTAAACGAGAGATGACCAGTGTGTGAGTGACTGACCGGAGGACCTCCTGATCTGGGAAAGGGTATAACTGGCGCACCACATGAATTTGGACAAAGGCCCTCCTGGTCATGACTGCCACCTGCTCCTTGAGCTGGAGTTGTGAGCCCAGGAGGACCCCCAGATTACGCGCAGGGCCTGTCTGGGTCAGCGCAACCCCATTCAAAACCAAAGATGGTAAATCTTCATATGTAGAGGGACTTCAATCCACAGCCACTCCATCTTACTAGGGTTCAGTTGAAGCCTGTTGCACCCCATTCAGACCCCGACAGCCTCCAGGCACCACAAAAGGGTGGTCATGACATCACTCAAGTCACCCAGGATGGAGATGTATAACTGGGTATCATTTGCATATTGATGATACTTCATCCCATGGTGTATTATGTATATTATGTATGTGTCAGGACTATTTCTTTATAATTTGTTATGCAGAAGCAATTAGATATGTAACAAATATCAAAATACATTTTAGTAGGCAAAGCCGTTGACCGGTTTAAACCAGCTTGCATCTGTGTACTATACTAAAATGCTTTTAATTTTATGCTCAGTGAGTCATTCAAATGGAGGCTATAATGTGGATTTTATAGCTAATTTGAAAAGTGTTCAATAAAAAAAAAGAACTCTTGGACAGATTTTTTTAAAAAAATGATGAAATGCTGCTTTAGCCATTGTCACGACCAAAGTTGGATTTAGACCAGTCCTCGCCAAGAATCTCTCTTCAGCCCAGTGCTGGGATTTTTTTTTTAAAAAAAAGACACTGTGGATCTACCCATCCAAAACCAGCAATAACAAAATAGCTGTGTAACAGTTCAGTCTTGCACATGAGGAAAGTCTGAGTGAGAAATTATTAGGCCTATTACTAATCCCTAGATACAGAAGGCTACAATCTCACATACACTGAATTCTACATAAAATACAGGTAGCCTACCTAAACTAGTTACTGCACTTCCTACCTGCTTGCATGAGATCTTTTACATGTTTCTTCTTCATTGGAGCATGATAATCAATTGCAGAAGACAGAAGGTAAGTGAAAGCCAATTTTTTTGGAGAGACTTAACTTGCTTTACCCACCCAAAAAGTTCCATCTCTGCTGTCCTGGATTTTATGTATGCCTTCAAGTCAGACTTGATTCTTGGTGACCATATGGACAAGTCCCTGCAGTTTTTCAGCAAGTTCTTCAAAAGTGATTTGTCCCAATATCATTAGAAGGGTGGATTTAACCAGTAGGTAATTTTTTGTTTACTAGACCCTTCTTCTTCCTAGGGCTCTGAGAAAGGGACTGGCCCAAAATTACCCAGCTTACTCATCCCTAAGGTAGGATTACAACTCATGGTTTCCCAGTTTCTAGCCTGGTACCTTAACCACTACCCCAAACTGGCTTTCATCCTGGATCTGGGAAACAAAAAATTACCTACTGGTTAAATCCACCCTTCTAATGATGTTGGATAGGATGATAAAGGTGTAGCCCAGATTTCACAAATTGTGTCATTGCTTTTTGGAGAGGAAATAAAATCTGAATTCTTTTTATTGAGGTGCTTTGCATGGAGTCAATTTACCAGATACTTTAGGAGGCACAGTTTTGTTATACCAAAACTAAACATTTGTCATGCCCACTCATTGAACCAGGAAGTCTGCCAGGCTGACTCCATCACAAATTGATGCTAAACTGGTCCAGAGTGTGATTTCCTGCTGCTGGAATCCTTGTTTTCATTTCTATATAAAGAATAATTATTTCAATCACGTACAGAAGAATTATTTCAGTATTTCAAATGTTAGGCTCAGCTGCCAGATAGCTTGCCAGCCTGCAGATGAGCAAACCCTTTTGCCACTACTTACATTATTCTTCCCAAATATAAGTTGATGATGATTACAAGGCAGGACACAAGTAGGGAAAGTGCCATTCATTTCAATCACATTCTGGATTAGATTAGATCTGAATCCAGCACAAGAATGAAGCACATATTTGTAGTCCTTTATTTTTCAAATGCACGCCCTATTGTTAAATTAGGATGTCCGAGATCGGCCTAAATTTGTTGATTGTCTGTGTTTCAGTGTGTCACGCAACTACTCTTTAAATGAGATTTGAAAACAATTTGACTTCCATGAACATCTTTTCATTCTGTTCTTAATGTTTAACTGAAATGCATTTTTAAAACCATTCCTGTTTTAACTGCTGTGCTCTGTTTTGTTATTTCATATTTTTCTATTTTAATGGAAATATATCCATTAAATATATGACTTGAAAGATATATCCACTGAATATATCATGACTTGGAAGAGTAGGATGTAAAAAACAGAAACAAATACACTGGTGATGTGCTTGTTAGGATTGAATGTCATTAATAACTGAATAAATTACAGTCCAGCCTCTACATATTTTAACAGTTTCAATGAAGCTCTAAATTATACACAAATAATTAAAATAATTTCAGACGCTATTGTCCCATTTCTAAAAACATCCATATAATGGCTACTCTGGTGAATAAGGGAAGAACTGTAATAGCTGCCCTTTAGTTACTTCCTTTTCTTGCAGCACAACACTACTGTATGATTGCAGGTAATAGATAGCCTTCCCTGGTTTACATGTAGAAGCTGTGGAGAATATTATGCTATAAAGACAGCAGAATTCTCAGACTCTTTTGGACCTGTTCTAGAAATTTCCATCCTTGACAACTGGAAACAGCCGAATGTATTGCCATGTTCATGTTCTTAACCCAGATAATTCTGCCGACAGCTGTATTACTATCACTTGTTAGATTTACCTCCCATCTTTCTTCCAGGAGCTCAGGATGCTATGCATAGCATTCCTGTCTCTAGTTTTGCCTCACAAGAATCCAGAGAGAGAACAACTGGTCCAAGGTCCTCCAGGGAACTTCCTTACAGTTGCAAGCAAAACTTTAGGCACTCCCTAGCCAAATGGGGGGTTTTGGTGAATCCCTAAGTGTACAGAAGCTGACACAGCCTCTACATGCTACAAAATTAAACATCTTCCTGCATGCATACTTCCTGAATACATACTTAGTAAATACATGCAACTGTTTACAGATTCAAAATAAGAAAACTGAATATGGGAGATGTTTGGATACTTTTTCAGACAGTACTTTGTTGATTCCTCTTTTGGCAGAAATAAATGCTTCCCAACATTTCCTCTAACCAGCTAAGAGTCTTTCTATTCTTGCTTTTGGAAATTTTTCCTCACTCTTCCTTGCACAATTCCTCTAGCTCAGAAATATTCTTAGGCCTCTTTGTGTGTTTGGTACACTTGAGATCTCCTCATAAATTTTCAATAATATTCAATTTTGAGGACTGTGAGGGCCATACCAGACCTTTTAGCTTTCTTTCCTGTAAGTACTTCATGGTTGATTTGGAGGTAGTTTGGATTGTCTTGTTAAAATAGCTGGCCTTTTTTCAGCTTCAATTTTTTTACTGACTGTGGGACATTAGCTTCTAGATACCTTGGTATATAGTTGACTCCATTCTTCATGCCACTGGTGCCACCCAACCCCAAAGTATAAATGTGCCACCTCTGTTCTTCATGGCTGGCCCCTTTTCTTCAAATACTTCACCCCTTTTTCTCCAAATGTATCTTGTGTGATTGGAACCAGACAGTTCAGTATTCCAAAACATTTCAGGCTTATCAAAGTTTCCTTGTGCATACTTTAGACAAAGGTTTTGGAGATAAGTTTGGAGAAAAGTTTTCTTTACAATAACTCTTCCATGCAGATCCCTGCTGTATAAGGAAAGTTCTACTGTGGACAGCTCCTCTACTAAACTTTTCAGCAGCTCATTTGCAGTGATCTGAAATTCGACTTTGCAGCACCAACCAATCTGGGGGCAGTTTGGGGAGATTTTTCTTGCACTTCCAGATCTTGCTTTTACTTTAACATGTTCCATGTAATCTCATAGCTGAAATTAGTAGCTGGAAGCATCTAGAAAATTTTGTATAGCCTTCCCCTGTTTTGTAAGAGTTGGTCTTCATTTTTAAATACTCAAAGACCAGTTTTGTGGAGCCCAGGATTGTTGAAAGTAGATTGAACAATCTAACCTGTGAGGTTAGAAGGACTAGAGTATTCATCTGTGGTATTACCTTCCCCAATTAACCCTAGGCCTAATAAATCAATCACCTTGGGGGCCTTATTAACATCTTTGCAGTGGGAAAAAAAAGCACTGGGTGTCCATATTTCTACGTATCATTTTTTTTTTTTAGTCATACGAGTAGGTGGCATACAAATATTTCTAAATAAATTTTGACTCTGCACGTAAAAAAGTGATGATAATGATTATCTCTTAGCTTATAACCAAAAAGGAAGGTTTTCATAGTATTCCTTAATTAGATTTATTGAAAAAAGGGATTAGGCTACAGAAATTTTAGCAACTGAGTACACTGACTTTAGTACCCAATTTATCTTTTAAGTTTGTTAGGGTGGAGATTTCTTGATCCTTACACTAACCACTTGTTGATGGGTTAGGGAGGTGGCTCCCCTTTTTCCTGATAAAGGAAGAATGTGCAGAAGTTCTGCATTTGTAATATTTTGCAAATCACCATTCTCTTCCCCAGGCTTTGTGAAGCCTATTACTGTAAGTATGCTTTCAAATTTTCCGAAAGCTCTGTATCTGGTACAGATTGTATCAGAGTTCACCACTTAGTGATTAACTGAAAGATACTTAACTTTTGCAAGGAACAGCAGCGGATAGTGTACTGGGTCTCCCTGACCCTATTCCAGTATCTTAACCATTATATCACACTGGCTCTATTACTAATTTTCCCTGAGATGATGCCACAAGTATGGAAAGGCATCTAAATAATTTTAAAGGGGCTTTCACCAATCTGGGGCCATACTTGCCGAGAATTCTGGGAATGTGTTCCAACATATCTGAGGGAGCCAGGTTGAGGGAAAGCTGTTTTAATTAATGGAAGAGTTGGTATCACATGTAGTTTGCCCTTGCTTTTTAATAGTAGTTACAGGATGTAAGAAGATTGTGGATTTACACTTGGCAGCACCGAATTTCAGACATATATTTAAAAAAGCAACTTTATGAATGTTAAACTTCAATACATGTAAAGTAATTTAACTGATGAGAAACTACAAAGCCAACATAAACAGAACTGTTGGTAACATGATGCATGATGAGAAACTGTTGTAACATCTCCCATAGTGATGCTTTTTTTTTTTCTTTTTTAAAGAAAGTAGGGAAATATTGTTAAACAGCAGTTATATTTTTGCACTTAATACAAACATGTTCATTTACAAATCATCATCAAATGTCTCCGTGCATCTCAACATCACAGTCTCGTAGTCTAACTGAAGAATTTCTTCCTGCCAAAAGTAAAGGTGGGGGAGAAGAGTAATTAAAGTTCTTTTAGGAGCTGGACTATTTTGGGTAAAAGAGTTAATGAATAAACATTCTATTGCAAGTTTAAATTACCTACAGAACAATTGTTTGACAGCCAGAGGCTCAATATACCAAGCAGACTTTGGGTTTTACATAAATGCAGCAAGACATGGTAGCAGATGCTAATCAGAGCCTACTGATTTATGGATGTGAATGCTGTTCCTTCAGGTTGTTTCCTTGCCAGGAGGGCAGGCTATCTCATTGCTCCAAAATACTGCAGGTCAAGTCTACTAAATTTAAATCAAGATACAGAAAAAATGTTGCACAATAATAATGTGATAAGAAAAAAAGTTATTCAAATATTATAACACTAAATCCCACAGTCTAACTCTGCATGTCACATTAGAATGTGGCTCTAATCCAAATGCAAGTGGGTATCTGCATTAAAAAAAAAAAGGTGAAAATTAAGGAAGGGATATGCTACTAAAGAGGCAAGGTTTTTTGGTTCAGAAATCCAGTTTCTCCCTCTGGTGGAGAAGAGCTGCTTGTCAGAAAGCAAATACACAAACACACACAGAGAAACTAACAGAGATCTGATTCTGTTAGCCACTTCCTTTTGAATATGGGTTTTGGCCTATCTGATGTAACTTCTGGTTTTTTTTTTTTTTTTTTTGCTAAGTGCAATGTTCAGATTTCTAGAACTTAGTTAATGGAAAACTCATGTATTAGCATTTTAAAATAAACTCTCAGAGTCTAAGCAAAGATTCTAAAGGCTAATATGATCACATTTGCTTACTGAACTTGTGGGATTTATGGTGAAACATACACGTGCAAACACCAATCCATCGCTATCCATCAAGCTTAGTTTAACCAATATTTATTTTATCACCACAAGACTGTCAAATCAGAAGGAATAAACATGGAGTAAAATAGGGTAAGTTGCAAACTATGTATGTAAAATAAACTATGATATGTCTTGCTGCTCTCAGTCAAACTCTTTTATTGATTTTGGCTTCATTAAACTTTTTAAAACAATACAAACATCTAGAATTCATTGATATGAAGAAAAACTTATAGGTGACTAGTTTTGGTTAAGGTTCATAAACTAGAGTGTATGGCAATTTATACAGCAGCCACACTGGCTTGGAATAATAGGAATCATAATGGAAAGCACCTGCAGGGCATCGGGCTGGGGAGGGCTGCACTGAGGATTTATTAGTTGATTTTTAATGGATCTTTCTCCCAAGCAATTGCACTTCCCTTGGTGCTGTTCTTCTCCTCTTTAGATCCCAGACTAGGATCTAGAAGGAATTTTTAATTTTTATTCCATAATGCAGATTTCCCCAATTTTTATTCTCCAGAAGCTAACTGGAAATTGAGGGAGCTGCAATCCCAGCATATCAGGACATGCCACTTTGTGGAAGGCCACCATAATATAATTGCTCAACAATTTCTCACATTCTTCTACAAGCAAGTTACATAAAATTATACTGATATTCATAATTTATTCCAGGTAAACAATTACAGACATTATTTTAACTTGCAGGCTTATAGTATGAGCATTTCCACATTTATTTATTTATTACATTTGTATGCCATCCATCTCCCCTGGAGGGTGACTCTGGGTGGCTCACAGTTAGAGTAAAACTTAAAAACAATTAAAAAAAACAGATACCTATATCACCACATTGCCATCCCTCAATCCCTCATAAACCACTTTGAAACTAAACATGGGTATTTTCAAATCTTTCAATCTTGAAACACCGAGAACACAAAGAGAATTCCACAAGCCAATTAGTTGCTTACCCTACACCTAACAAAAAGATACTTTAAAGAACATTTTTATTCTTAGTCAATAAAAACTCCCCCACCCTTACTACACACAAAAAGGAAATAAAATAAATTAGTGCCCAGTCCTATCATTTTGGTAGTTTGACAAACTAAAGAGGTTTGTCAAACCACCAAACTGGAGAGGTTGTCGTCATGGGTACCTAGGTAAGGGAAGGTGGATGGTGAAGAATAAAAACAGAAATGCACTAAAATCTTTCCCTAAAGTCTTCTCAGCTACCTTACTGACATTTAAAAGCTCCTGTGAATTATGAAAGTGAAATAATAGCATGTTGGCAAATTTGCAACCAGTCATTTTTCCCAATAGTTGTGACAATGGCTGAATGTTTCTACAACTGTTGAACTTGAACAAGGAAGAGATGAGTTCTCAACAGAAGGTACAGAAAGAGACAAGTTCCAGGAATAAGATGTAGAACTTTGGGAGGATACAGAGAAGATTAACGGCTGTCTTGCCTTGAACCCATGGTCTGAGTAAGGCAAGTTTCCCCAATAATAAAACAGATTACCCACAAACCTGTAGTCTCTCAGAGATTAAAAGAAACACAGAAATAAAATAAATCAAATCAGTTTCCCCAAACAATATTGTGAGAACAACCAAGCCCAAAGTCAAACCCAAAATAATATAAAACAAACAATGATGTGGAAGTGCCCTAAATATCCATTCCATCCAGTACCTATTAGCCAATAGGGAACTGGATGCCTTTGGAAGTTCACAAGCTCATTTCAACAGGATACACAAATCTTGTTCTGTTACTCTTTTTTCAAACCTTCTACATTAATTTCCTACAGAAGTGATGGGTGCACTATTGGAAGACCTAAAAGACCAGGTTAGGGACAGAACATCCTGGAGAAGATCTACCTACTGTATATGTTCACTAAGAGATGACACTGACTTAATGGCACATAATCAATCAATATTAATTTCCACATATTGTCTTCCATGAATGTATTTGCCCTCCCCACTCCAGTTAGCTGTGTTTGTACAAAGCGAGAAGCTCTGACTGGGTTCCAAGATTCATCAGACACTACAGCCAACCTTCATGAAAGTCATTACTTATACATAACACTAGTTGCACATTAGTATGTTGGATAAAGAAAATTATGCATTTTAAAAAATGAAATACTAGGTCAATTTCAATTTGAAAATTAATGTATCTGCTTTGTTAATGTTTTCTATACCATTCCTAATTTTATAAATCTGTGACTCTTCATGATAGACACCTTTTACTTATTAGTTAAAAATTATACTCTAAATCATTTTCTAGGTGTTCAGGATGGTAAGAAATAATAATAATAATAAAATAACAAGATTCACCATGACATTTCCCCATTGTGAACATGTTTCAAATCTGTAACAATAAACATGAGCACTTACTAGATTTGTCTTAGAGTGCATTAGTAATTTAGATATTTATTGAATTCAAGCAGTGTTCTTCTCTCTTTATATTACTCAAAGACCTTATATAATAAGTGTTCATTGTGTCATATAAAAAGATCACATAATATAATTCTATCATATATTTTCACTGTGGCATACACTTAGTCTTCAAAAATGTATGTTTACATCTGGGCTTGGTTTCTAGGGACAATAGAGTAATTACTGTGATGGAAACTGTATCAGGAAGAGACAAAGTTGTGGTTGAAACCAAATCTATCATAAGCTGTACATCTCCCTTTACTGAGGTGTATTCAGATGCAATTATTTGAAAATGAACTGGATGCCACCAGTATTTTTTAAAAACTTTCTGCAAACAAGTCTGGCTACTTTTCCAGTGCATTCCATTCCCCCTCAGCTTAATTGGAAACCTGCTTTTCCTGCCTAATTAAAAGCTGCAACATCTCCATTTTATTATGATAGGTGAGTTACTGGAAGAGATACTTTTGTCATTAGCCTATACATTACTGACATACTATCAATTTACCCAATAGATATCTTAGTCAGGGTTACTTAAATTCATCCCATGTTTTGAGAAGTAAGTGGATGTGATGAAAATCAGGACCACCACAGCAGGAGAGCACTCCTGAGTTGAAGAGATGAGAAAATACTGCTAGACAAACTGTTCCAAGGAGAACAGGTGCTGCCTGTTAGGATAAAATAAACTGACAGTTTAATGAGCTTAAGCTTCTACCTGCATGAAAAAATCCTTTTTGTTTCTCATTTTCTGGAGGTACTTTTATATGTATTACATGGTCATCATATAACCTGAAATGTTATGGGAGCAGAGTAAGGAAGTTATTTCCAGAAAGAGAATATGGATCTAAATTGTAATGGAAAGTCAATTGATATGGATAATTTTCCGCCCACCTAAAAGCAAAAGTCCAATGCCAATGAAATGAGCTGTTTAGATTCCTTGCTTCAAAATGATCAACACCTGTGCCAGCTGTTTTGCATCTAGAACGTAGAAAAACTGTAAGAAACCCAGAGCTGGACCTGGATAGCACAAGGCCATCCCTTTATTGTGCTACCCTTCTTCCACTTGCTCAAGGGAAGAGAAAATGCTTGATCCTGAAATTAGAGGGCACAAGCAAAATATTATCATCAAAACAGTACGTCATCAACCAGGTTTAGATAGGTGGTTATGCTGTGATCCACCCTGTTTTGAAATCTACCTACATAATTCTTGTGGGAAGGTAGAGATTAGGTAGCAGCAGTCAGACACAAACAGATGAAAAGCAGTATGTTTGCATATGATGATAAATTACACTGAAAAGATAGAAAACAGGTGTTGGTCCTGGTTAACCAGCCTTTAGCTGCGCAACATAAAAATTCTTCAGCAGATGTTTTTATTAACAAGATGGTATTTAAAATACGTAAGACTCTGGCAAATAAACATATTTATTGGACAGATTACTTCTGAGGAAGCATGCTTGGACTCAATTCACTTACTCAGAAATAACACTGATTAATTTTTCAGGTAAAAGAGAGACAAGAAATGAAATAACATTTACTGGTATATTTACAATGTTTGATAGTTGGAAACCACATTTTAAATGGGTTTTTTTCCTTTTTTGTTTTTTTTTCTTCTTTTTCTTCTCTTCTTCTTCCTTCCTTCTTTTTTCTTTCCTTTCTTATATATGTCCTTGTCAGATTTATGTTTGTAGATCTTAATTTTCTATATTATTTGTTGTACTTAAT